TCTCTATCTTCTTTATATAGCCGCCCATCTCAGACAAGGTGATTCTGGGCGGCGTACAACAATTAAAAAGAACACATACGTAAACCCGTTACCGATAAAAACCTGTAAAAACACACAAAACAGGAGGGGGTCATATTAATAAGGGAGCCCCCGCAAAATCTCCCCGGTCCCCTGGGAGCCCCAGGCCTGATCACGCAGGCAGGTCTTGAGGGGCTTGCGGACTGTTAAGAGGGACGGGCCAGCCTCGCTTCTCGGGGGAGAAGATGCCGCGAGGCGGGCGCCACGGCAGCGAAGGCCCGTCTCCGCGTGAGATGCGTGGCTGTGTCCGGGTTCTCAAATCTGTATCTTGCTTTCAAGCGGCTTTGACGGGGAGAGGAAGAAAAAAAGTATTTCGGGCATCAGCAAGAACTGGAGACCCCCAAGCATACGGTGTGCTACTGGGAGCCATATTCAGCGGCGGTGGGCGATAACGCTGCCTCGTGTCGGTGGGGGCGAGCGGAAGCCCCGTGCCGGCCCTCCGTGGGGCTCGCTCGCTGTCTGTAGCGAGCGACTGCGGCCGTGGGAGAAAGGGGGGAGGGGGGCCTTGGGGACTCCCGATTGAGGGGGCCAGAGCAGCCAGCCGTTCAGACGCACACCCTCCCCATACCCGTAAAGTCTGCTTTACGGCAGAGGTTGATCCGTCTCGGAAGTACTCAAATCCTCTCTGATGCACAGTATATTCACGGAGGCAGGTCGTTATGTCGAGGCGCTGCTCTCAAATTCAGATCCGGACCCCGCTTGGAGCGCTGTGTCCAGTTCTGGGCACCCCAGTTCAGGACAGACCGTGACAAACGGGAGCGAGTTCGGGGCAGGGGAAGGGTCTGTGAGGATGGTGAAGGACCCAGCTACGTCTAGCGGTTGGCCTGCAGAAAAGACAACTGAGGGGAGACAGGAGAGCGGTCCGCAGGTGGCTGAAGGGTTGCCCCGTAGGAGAGGAAGTGGCTCGTTCCCTCCCTGCTGCCCCGGAAGGCAGGGCCGGATCCAGTGAGTTAAAATGACAAGGAAGGAGATTCAGGTTGGAGATTAGGAGGAACCTCCGCCCTGTACAAGCTGTCAGCCTGTGGGACAAGCAGCCACATGTCTTCCGACGGCGGCTGGATGGTCACCTACCAGAGAGGCTGTAGGGGATTCTGCAGTAGGCAGGGGGTCAGAGTGGATGACCTCTGAGCCCCGCTCCAGCCTTGCGATTCCACAGGGAATGCGCAACAGGCGGGATATCTGATAACCACGAATGCACTTCAGCTGGGGAACAGGCAAACATGCTGTGTTGTGAAGAATCCAACTCTTAAACAAGAAGACTCCATCCGTAACTGTCACATCACTTATGCAGGGCACAATTTAAGGCTTACGTTTTCAGGGTGATACAACCAAAGACAGGCCACGGTCCCCCCCCCACCCATCATCCTTCCTCGCACTGCAAAAGGCCCCCAGTGGGGGGACAGGGCCTCCAAAGGAATCATTTTCTAGGCTCAGCCAACACGTAAACTAAGCAGGCTGAGCCATAAAACCAAGCCAATACTGAAATGTTTCACACCAAAGTGAACCCAGCATAGCCAGTCCAGAGAAATGGGGGCCTGGAGTGGGCAGGCTGTTGGCCCCAGTCGGCCCTTGGCAAAAGAGTCTGTCATTGGCAGTATCCCTGCCCAGCATCCGGCCTGCCAGGGAGGCCTCCTGCCCCCCGCCCCCTCCTGCCCCCTTTATCGCCTGCCAAGCAGCCCTTCTGCCTGGGCCTATCGGAGGAGGCAGGCCTGACTCAGCTCTGACTCAGCAGAACAGGAGGCTGGGCAGATCTGCTGAGTCACCGCCCCCCCCCAACTGTCTGGGTCCAGCTCACAGCCAGTGTTTGCCTCTTTCTCTTTGCCCGGAGAGAGAAGCCCCCGTCAGCTGTGAATCTGGGCTTCCGCTTCCCCAAAGAGGCCATCAGCCGGACTCACAAACCCAACCAACGCCTGCCCTCTGCCCAGGAAACGTTGGGCAGCCAGTTGCTCCTCTCCATCCACTGGAGCAAGAACCAGAGCTGCTGCCTGCTGCTTGCCCCCCCAAGGCACCCAAAGGATGACGAAGTTGGGCCCTTCTTCCTCCACCCTTGCACTGTTGGCCAAGCCCCCCCCCTTTTCTCCCTTTTTTCTAGCCTGCAAGGGTCTGAAGGGGCTTTCCCCTGCCGGGTGTCCTCTGCAGATGCTAGACAACTCCCAGAATTCCCAGGGAAGATCCTCCTGGCTGAAAATGGGGAGGGGGGTTCGTCCACCCTTTCCAGAGGGCCCCCATTGGGGACAGCTGGCTAGAACAAGACCCCAGAGAAGAGAGATATTCCAGAGGAGGGAAAGAAGAGAAGTGTCAGCCTTGTGAGGTAAACCAGACAGGAAACACAGCCAGATGAGTGAATTCTACTTTATTGTAAGGCTACATGAACAGAATCTGGCAAGTCTGAGAGTACATCTCTCCCCCAACCCCCGTCCCCTTTACAGCCTACGAAAATAAAGGGGTCTCTTCTGAGCTGCTTGCCCTGTCCACATTCCTGCTCTGGGCTAAGCTGCCTTTTATCTGACTGTTCCCTTGGCTGTGTCTCTTTGCCCAGTCTCCCAAGGTCATTCCCACAGACCATTGCAGGAAGTCCCTCCGGGTGGGCTTGGTGAGGTTCATCAGAGGGAGACCTCTCTGAAAACCCTGCTTTTGGGCCCTCTCCTGCAGCCCTGGGACTGGACAGAGCAGCAAACTTGCCCCACCGTGGAGAGGCTTTTCCAGGCACAGAGAGTCTCCTGACTGACCTACTTTGGAAGCCAGCTAGCAGATGACTTTGGGGTGGGGAGAAGGGTTCCCTGGTGTGAAAAGGGGGCATCTCATTCTAACTCATGTGTAACTGACTCTCCATGCTGGAAGTTATCAGTTCAGAAGGTGAAGGTGAAGTTCCCAGAAGAAAATGTTAATTGTACAATTCCTCACCCTCCATCCTAACATTTTATATTACTCCCCTCCCCACTGATAATCCTCATGGCTTTCTCCTTGCAGGACACAAACTATGAAACCCCAGAGGGCTACCAATCCCCAGAGAGGGGAGGGTCCAGCCAGCTTGCAACAGTGACTAACTGGGGCTGTTCCTGGAAGTTAAGGCGGTCCAGACCTGGTTAGTGCTGGAGAAGAGACCACCTTGGAGATGTCAGGTTGTAGGTTGGACAAGACTTTGCAGAAGAGGCCAGTGGCAAACCACTCTCATATCATTGCCCCAATGCTCCACGGGGCCTTCTCTTCAAGAGGGGGCTGGACAAACACACGAGGAGCATCCTGGCTCTTATGCCTCCTCATCGGGAGGCTTTTGCTCCCTCTGGAATCCCAGCCAACCGCTGGAGGACCACAGTGGCCATGCTTCTGAGCTGCTCAGGGGAACCTACTGGACTCCACCGAGAGGGCCATCCATCCAACCCAGCCTCGGGGCCCTGCAGAGGTCCAGGCAACCCCGGAGGCGACCCATTCTTTGGCCAGATGTTCTGGATTCTCCTGGGGGCCTTCTCGGCTCAGGAAAGGCTGGACCTCCAAGCCCCCTGGACAGGCTCGCGCAGAGGCTCTGGATGCCCTCGAGAGCTGCCCTGCATTCCCGCTTTGGCAAAAGGGCTGTGCCATTCCCGGCTTGGGTAACTCAGATGGTGCCAAGCCAGCTGGGGAGGAGGGCCTGGGCCTGCTGCCTCCTTCCGCCACTGCCTTGCTCCTCAGGCCAAGCAGGGCTCCCGTTATCACTTGCCCCAGCAAGGGTGGAGGGGAGCTATCAGGGGACCGGCTGGCTGCTTCGGCTGGGCCCGAGAGATAGGCCAGCCAACCAGAGCAGTGCTCGGAGCCCCACGGCACACCCGAGGCCGCTGGCGAGAGAGATAGCTCTGCCCTACCTCTGAAGCCTTGGCGGCCAGCGGGAAGGGAAGGGACCAGGCAGGTTGAACCCAGGGCCAGGGAGGGCCAGAGGTAGAATTGGGGGTGGGGGCTGTAGTCAGCTGGCGATGTAAGCTCTGGACACCATTGAGGGCTCCTACTGCCCCTGCCCCTGCCCAAAAGGGCTCACAGTCTGGGGCAGGAGAGGATCCCCCTTCTCAGCCAGACCAACTCTCAGTTCGGATTGAGACCCACAGAATCCTGGAGGGGGGGAAGTCCCTCGAGGCTGTGGCCCTTTCTGGAGGGTCCAGATTAATGCATGGCCATCTGCCCATCCCTTAAGCCCATTCTGTGTGATGATGGGCTGCCCCCCGCCCGCCTCCCTGGGTCACTCTTGGGCTGCTGTTATATTCCCTCTTTCCCCCAAGAGTTCAGTGGGATGCGCATATGACCCACCATTCTCTTCCCACAACAACCACCCTGTACAGTAGGCGGGGCTGGGAGAGAGAGCAACTGGCCCAAAGTGCCCCAGGGACCCTCCTCAGCTGAAGGCGGGCTCGAGGGCTCGCCCCTCGCCCTCCATCCGGAGAAGTTGCAGTGGCTGCCCCAGACTGCTTTGGGTGCCCTCCTGACTCGATGGCTCTTAAACTTTGAATTCACTCTCTGGGAATCTTCAGGGCTTCCTGAGCAGAATCTAAACTTGCCAGGTCATAAATTCCTCACAAATATTTGTTTAAAGGAAAAACATCATCGTCTGCTCGCTGCCAAGGGCACAGTTTCCCGTGGCCTGCCTCTCGTTTCTTTTGCACGTGGTTCCTGGAGACTTAAGGGTCACTTAATGTTTCTGAGTGCTGGTTGCACAAGACTGAAGTGCCACCTTTTATGAATCCGTTCTGTTTCTTTGCAAATTAGAATTTAAAGGCATGACAAAATTTCAGCTGCTCCAGGCAGAGCATCTTCATCAAACTGGATCTCATTTGCTTCAGCCACCCTCACTCCAGCCTCAGGGTTAACGAGCAGGACTGATGTTTTTAGTGCTTGTAATGTGGGATGTCTTGTCTCATGTTCAAGTTTTATTATATTGATCTCATTCTTCAAAGCGTCTTCTTATTGTTACTGCAGTTATTTCCAACCTGCCCAACAGCTGGAGAAGCAGAGCCATGCAGTACTGGCTTGGGAAGAAAACCTGTGCAATTGTTTATGTGAGCGTCCCAGAACATTAGTTGGACCTCAGACAATCCAGTCCAACGATGCACTCATGCGCTTGCGCAGAGGGCCCTCCAGCCCTGCCACGAAAGGGACACACCACTGTGAGGCCACTTCTGCCGCGGGCTGGCAGCTCTTGCCCTCAGGGCCTCCCTCTGCTGAACCTGCCGCCCTGTGTCTTCAAGCTCTGGGCCCCGCGTCTCTCCTCCTCCTCTGGTGATGACCTTTAGGCATCGGAAGACAGCGGCCTGTTTCTGCTATAGGTTAATGACACCCAGAGCCTTGATCCCAGAGCCCTCGCCCTCACCCTCCTGGATGGGCTCTAGTTGGTCCCTGTCCCTTTTAGATGCTCCCTGACGTGGGGCCTGACGGTGGACAGTTGGTGTGACTGGGACCCTCTGAGTC